ATTTCTTGAGATTTGTGAGGCATACTGTAGTGTGAAAGGTCGCCACAAAGCACCTTTTCCATATTTGAAGATTCAATAAAGCTTGTTCAAGAGGTATTTCAGCTAATCTTCTTCTCTTCCTTTTATTTCTTATCTTTATCTCTTTTTTTGTTATAATAAACATCATAATGTAGATATTTTAGGGTTAATCGCTTAATTTATATTTTAAGCATGATTTATATTTTAAGCATGTAAATAAATATTAATAAAGGGGATTCAATATTTAATTTATTAATTCTTATAATGTTAACTTCATCATAGGGTACCAATTGAGGGCGTTGTAGGGGTGCTTAATACCTTCCCTACACGTAATCGACCCCCGAACCCAATTCTGGTTATCAAGGCCATAGTTGGATCTTTAAAAAACCTTTTCTTTTTCCAATGTTTTTGAGTAAAATATTGGTGGCGACTCCATGAACCTATTTTCAAAAACCATTAATTAAGGATTAGTCTGGTGTCGGGGCATTCCTTAATTAATGAGACTTTTAAAAGGATGTCTAAACCATACGTCGCGAGATCAAAAATTTTCGGGTTGCGACAGGATCAAATAATCCATTGGGTGTAAATTCAGAGATGGATCAAATTTCTTTTTACCCTTATTTTTATGTAAAGGATCTAGTAGGTTGGGTAGCGCATTCATTATTGATTCACATTCTATCCTCGGGCGGGAAGGACTCAATCTCAAAGCTCTTTTGCCAGCTTAGCGTCATGATGGTCTTTTTTAAATCGAAATCCCGATCTGACCACGCTTTCGTCAGTTGATTATGTCAAAACGGGGAACAGAAGACCTGTTTTTGTTCCAGTTTCTGATTCAAGAATGTTTGTTCCTATTGTTCTTGTAATTTTTGAACGTTTAGGAGCATTTGTGATGCACAGCATGTCGCTGTTGGGACTACCGATAGGGACTTGAGGAGTGGTTGATTGGAGGGGTTTGACAAAACTTTTGCAGGAAACAACAAAGGGAAATCTCTGTGCCATTTTTTCTGTGTCTATGTGGTATGCATAGGGCATAAGGTTTTATAAGAAAGAGTACTATAGGGAAAAATGTAGGGAATGGAAGAAAATCCACCCAGTGTTTTTATCACTTTGCCCTCTCAACCAATTTTACATTTGCCTTATCAAATTCATCTTGAAGAAAATTTCAAGCAGCAAAAATTTAGATGAAACCTGTAATACTTGCCCCTTTCATATTCACTGTTGTACAAAACATATTGCTCCACTGGCAGACTATGATTCCAGGATATGACAGTTCCTCAAAAAATCATTTGAATAATTGACATACTTAGTCCAAAATGGCCAAAGATGTTCAAAGCCAATTTGCAACCAAGGTTTTGACTACCCATTGTAGTGAATAACAGCAGCCTTTTTCACACTCTCAATATTGGTATTGTTCTGATAACCCAAGCCAAGCATGTGCCAAGAGGGATCAATTGGTTGAACAAGACCTTTAAATGCAATCAAAGCAGGAGGCAGGGTTCCAAGCTTCCACATTGTCATATTTGACTTCAGATTCTGCCATAGTGAAGCAGTCAATAAATATAGTCTTTGCTAATAGATTTGACTTCAGATTCCACTACCTTGATATGTTTAAACCACTCAATCAGTTGCCATACAACATTACTTTATAACAATGAGTGGATTTTGTATGAAATTCAAATTATTGAAAATCAAAGAATAATTTAAAATTTTGAAAAACCGAAATTATATTGGTTTGAGTCTGTGTGGACTTTTACCTCTCTCAGCCAAGAATGATACGTCTCTCTTATATTAGTTCTTCTCCATGCATGCAAATCAAAGAATTATATTGGTTTGTGAAAGGATACTATTATTAGTCAATTATTTAAGCACTCTTAGTTAACTACACAATTTTAAGTTCTTTATGTCATTCTATTATTCTATTATTGTTTTTTAACTTGTTAAAAATTCAAGAGAAAATAGTATATATGAGTTTTTTATGTCATTCTATCACTAGTTTATTGAGGCCATTTCACTCAAAATTCTTTTTCAGTTTATTGTATCAAATGGATAAGAGTTGGATACATGATAACACTCTAAATAAAGAGAAGTACATTAGAAGGGTTCTAAATTTTCTTGATTTTGCCTTTGCTAAATCTTCCAAGGATGGAAAAATTTTATGTCCTTGTACTAAATGTGTCAATTGCAAGTGGCGCTCTCGAATGGATGTTTATGAGCACATAATATGTAATGGATTTATAAAAGGATATGTTACTTGGATCTTTCATGGTGAACAAGTTGGCTCTTCTAATTCTTTAGAAACATCTCAAGTAGAAGAAGAGTTTGATCATGATATGGATATGTTGATTCATGATGCATTCGAGATGCATGCAATTAATGAAAGTGATGATACAAATGTAAACATGGAGAATGGAGATTCTAGAACATTCATGAATGAACCCAATGTTCAACAATCCGAAGAAGGTAATAATTCAAATAAGCTTTATCAGTTATTAAAGGAGGTAGAACAAAAATTTTATCCTGGTTGTAAAAAGTTCACAAAATTATCATTCATTGTTCACTTGTATCACTTAAAGTGCCTAAATGGGTGGACTGACAAAAGCTTTACAATGTTGTTAGAGTTATTAAGTGATGCCTTACCAGAAGAAAACACTTTACCCAAATCATTTTATGATACAAAGAAGATTATTTCTGGGTTGGGTCTATCATATGGAAAAATTCATGCTTGTCCTAATGACTGTATATTGTATAGGATTATAGGAAGGATTTGGATAATGCTGAAAATTGCCCAAAATGTAAGTTATCAAGATGGAAACACAACTCTGATGATGTTGAATGTAGAAAAAAGATACCAGCAAAGATTCTTCGTTGGTTTCCTCTTATGCCAAGAGTCCAAAGACTTTTTCTATCATAAAAAATAGCTTCTTTTATGACATGGCACGAGGATGGTCGAACTAAAGATGGACTTCTAAGACATCCAGCTGATTCATTTGCTTGGAAGGATTTTGATCGCCAATATCCTGATTTTTCTTGTGACCCTCGTAACGTTCGATTGGGTTTGGCTTCTGATGGATTTAATCCTTTCAAAACTATGAAGATTCCCCATAGTACTTGGCCTATTATATTGATTCCATATAATCTTCCCCCATGGATGTGTATGAAGCAACCAAATTTTATTCATTTTATTTTGTTTTGTTAATGATACGTAGAGTAAATTTCAATTTATTCCTGAATTGACTGAACAAGCAAAGGAAGTACTAAAGGATAACATGAGTATGAAGTGGAGGCAATTTAAGTATGATTTGAAATCAAAAGGATATGGTGAGAGTCAAACTGAGGAGGAAATGTTTTCTCATATTCCTGATTCAAGGGTTGATCCTTCTCAATATCGTGATTTGCTACATTATTGGTGCTCCGAGAAAGGGCGGGTATATCTTTTTAAGTAATAGTTAATATAATACTTATATGTCATATGCTGATTTTTATTATTGACCTTTTATATTTATTGGTTATAGAAAATAAGTGACATCAACAAAAGGAGTCGCTCAAAGTATGAAGACTTACACTGCATGGGAACTAAGAATCTTCCGAGACTAGTTCATGAGATGGTTTGTCTCTTTTGATAATATTTCTTTTCATCTTTTAAAAATTAGTAGCTAGAAATATAATGGTTGATATTTTTGTGACTAATGTTAGACAATAAAGGCTAAAGGAGTGCAACCTTCTCGAGCACAAATTTATATAAACACTCGAACCCGACAAAATGGAAGCATTGTTACAGAAAAAGCTGCTACTGTAATTGTAAGAATTTTATTTGGTATATTGCTTTTGTGTTTACTATTAAGAGTTCAGTGGCATGTTTATTTGACCACCATTTTTATGACAATTTATTATAGTTGATCACTAGCTTTGTCTAAAAGTCTTGTACTTGAATTATATAAATTTTGGAAAGTACTATAAAATATGAAAATTGTTTGTATCAAATTTTAAAGATTGGATTTTAAAAAAATCAACTTCTAAGGAGATTATAGATGTAACCACATCAAGTCTTTATTTATACTTAGATTATACTTATAAATAGCCAAGAGCCTCTAATCACTGTCACTTTCAATTTCTATCACTCTTGCATATCCCACTTCAGTTGTGCTGTTAGAGCTCTAACTGCATCCTTATAAATCTACAAAAACCTTAGGATTATAACCCAACCCTGCATGTATGACCAATTTCAGCACGAAAATAGAAGGATGCATAATTCATACACATTTTACAGATCTTATTGAGTTGATATTAAATTGGTATCTAAAATTGTGTTGTATGAGTTATATACTATGAGTCTTTTTGTGTTGTTAATTCAGTAGGGTCAGACTACTTAAATTGTTTACATGTGTTGTAAGAAATCTCTTGATTAAAATGTGCGACAACACATAAAGATATTGTATTATTAAGTTGTTGTGTTATTAAGCTATTATGTTGATATATTGTTGAGTTGGTATTCGTAAACTCGCCCGGCGTACACATCTTTGCGCCCAGCGGGCTTTCCTAAATGGAGCCCTCAGGTGGTCTCGCGCCCGGCGCGAAGAACGGCGCTCAGTGCGCAGAACGGCGCTCAGCGCGAAGCTCAGCAACAGCCCACCAAGTTCGAAAATCTGCCCAAAACCTGCAAAAATCCTCTCATCCAGCACATGAAAACCAGCCAAAAGTTCACATTTTCATCCAAGAGTTCAAAAATAACATCTTTTTACACATGCAACCACAAATCAATGAAAACCCAAAATTTTTACCCGAAACCCCGAAAACCCGAAAATGAATTTTCTTTAATCACAGCCAAGAATCAGCCATCAACAAGCATCTAATAAGCTTCTAGGACTCATCCTCAACCAAAAATAGCAAAAACCTAGCTTCCCTTACCTCGGTGAAGAAATCCGAGCTTCCGGGGAAAGAGACGAGCTAGAACGGGGAAGAGAAGAGGAGAAAAGAGTATCCGCACCACAGAAAATCCAAACCCTCAAGGATCAACACCTTAAATCCAAAGAAACACAAGGTTGAAGGAGAGAAAATCAGTAAAGTGAGAGTAGAGAGTGTTGTGAGTGAGAGTGGAAGAAGGAAAAAGGAAAAATGAGGGTCTCACAACCTCCCTAACAACAAAAGTTTTCATCCCCGAAAATAGACTTACTTGGGAATAGAAACGGATACCGCTCCCTGCACTGCTGCTCCACCTCCCAAGTAGCCTCACCAATAGTTGCATCCCACAACACTTTCACCAGAGCAATGGACTTACCCCTCAGCTCCTTCAGCTTATGATCAACCACAGCTACTGACAACTTCTCATAAGTCAAATTCTCCTTCACCTGCACATCATCCAGCTCCACCACATGACTCGGGTCATGAACATACTTCCTCAGCTGGGACACATGAAATACATCGTGTAGGTTTGAAAGAGACGGTGGCAAAGCCAACTGATAAGCAACCGGACCCACACGCTGTATGATCTGATAAGGACCAACAAACCTCGGTATCAACTTCCTTGCCTTCAGCACTCTACCCACACCAAAAGTCGGGGTCACCTTCAGAAACACGTGTTCCCCTTCAAAAAACTCCAAAGGCTTGCGCCTTTTGTCAGCATAAGATTTCTGCCTACTCTGAGCGGTCTTCATCTTCTCCTGAATCATCTTCACTTTCTCAGTAGTCTGTAGGATCAGCTCCGGTCCCACAACCACTGATTCACCATCCTGATACCAGCACAGAGGAGTCCTATATCTTCTGTCATACAAGGCTTCAAACGGCGCCATCCCAATACTAGCATGAAAGCTATTATTGTACGTGAACTCAACCAGCGGTAGGACATCCTCCTAGCTTCCCAAGTGGTCTAACACACAAGCCCTCAGCAAATCCTCCAAGGACTGGATTGTCCTCTCTGACTGACCATCCGTCTGCAGATGATAAGCAGAACTCAGCTTCAGCTTCGTGCCTAAGGCTTGATGTAGACTCTGCCAAAATCTAGAAGTGAACCTCGAATCTCTGTCTGAAATAATACTGGAAGGCACCCCGTGCAATCGTACTATTTCCCTCACATACAACTGCGTCAGCTTCTCCAAGGACCACTTGATGTTGGTGTGACACCTTTCCTTCGACATTGAACCCGCTTACAACTTATAACAAAACTAAAAAGGGAAGAGGATAATGCAGAAATTAAAAGGGGAAGAAGGGGAGGTATGGAGGTGCAGAGAAAAAAGTAAAGAAGAAGAAACGGGGTGCACAAAGAAGAAAGAAGAACAGTGAGAAGGGAGGTGTGAATCTAAAAAATTATAAGTTAGAAAATAATAAATTCCTAAATTATCCTCAATATTTTTCTGACTTATAATTTTTCAGATTCACACGTCCCTTCTCACCGTTCTTCTTTCTTCTTTGTACACCCCGTTTCTTCTTCTTTATTTTTTTCTCCGCACCTCCATACCTCCCTTTCTTCCCTTTTCAATTTCTGCATTATCCTCTTCCCTTTTTAGTTTTGTTATAAGTTGTAAGCGTGTTCAGTGTCGAAGGGAAAGGTGTCAAACCATATGCATTTTTTACTCCAAGTAATTCTTCTAACTATTTGTTCCGGGAAGTGTTTTCCGGAATAATAAAGCTTTTGTTTCGGAAAGTATATTTAGGAATAGTAAAATTTTTATTCTGGAAAATATTTTCCGGAAGTGTTCTTGTTACATAATTCCGGAAAATATTTTCCAGAATACTAAATTTAATATTCCAGAAAGAACTTTCCGGAATTATATAAGAAACAAACTTCTGAAAAATGCTTTCTAGAACAATAATTTTACTATTCC